GTCACCAGCGGTGCTTCCCTCCAGCCTTTGCCCAAAGCCCCCCCGCAGGAGGCTGAAGCAGACCCCAAGTCGGAATTTCTGCCCCCCTCCAACCCACACAAAAAGACCCCAAAGGGGGAGACTCTGTAGTGACACAAGTGTTCATTGCACGTATCCATCCCAGGGGCCGTAATTTGAAGAGCCCTGATTTAGTGCAATATAAAAAATGCAAATAATTTTTCCGCAGACATTTTCTCATGGACCACCAGTGATCCATGGACCATCAGTTGGTGACCACTGGACTAGAAGACCTCCAAGGTCCCTTCTGACTCTGCTGTTCTGTGCTTGCTAAACTACAAAACCCACTCCTAGCACTGATAATCTCCCTGTCTCTTTGTCCCCCATTCCTCTCTTTTTCAGGAGGCTAGCCAAATCCACTCTTCTCCTGATCCCTCTCTTCGGTATCCACTACACCATATTTGCCTTTTTTCCGGACACGGTCAAGAAGGAAGTGATGTATGTCAAACTGGTCTTCGAACTTATCGTCGGTTCCTTCCAGGTGAGCCTTCTGTCACTTCCAACCACCATTTACACCAGGGGGTTCCCAAACTCAGCGACTTTAAGACTCGTGGACTTCAATTCCCAGAATTCCTCAACCAGATTGTGAACTTCAGCTCCCGGAAGTAGCTGTGCTGGCTGGGGGAATTCTGGGACTTGAAGTCCACAAGTCTTAAAGTTGCCAAGGTTGGATGTCAACCTGCCTCTACTTGCCAATTCCTATATGAATCCTTTCGTAGGATACTCAGAATGTCAGAGAGAGCTTGGGGTTAAGGGGGTGGTGGTGGTATTTAATGGCTGGAGAGTGTCAGCCATAGAAATGCCTCTCAAGAAAAAGTGGGGGGAGAGGGGAGAGAAAGAAAGAAGGAAGGAAGGGTGAAGAAAGAAAAGAGGAGAAGAAGAAAGAAAGGAAGAAAGAAAGAAAGAAAGAAAGAAAGGGAAAGAAGGAAGAAAAAGGAATTGAGGGAAGAAGGGATGGGGGATAGACAATGAAGGGAGGGAGGAAAGAAAAGGAAGGAAGAGGGAAGAAAGAAAAGGGAAGAAGGAAGAAAGAAGGAAGAAAAAAGGGAGGAAGGAAAGGCGAGGGAGGAAAGACAGGGAAGGAAAAGGGAAGAAAGAAAAAGGAAGAAGAAAGAAGGGAGGAAGGAAGGAAAAAGAAGGGAGGGAGGAAAGATAAGGAAGGGAGGGAGAGAGGGATGGAGGAAAGAAAAGGAAGGAAGGAAAGAAAGAAAAAGAAAGGAAGGAAGAAAAGGGAAGGGGGGAAGGGAGGGAGGAAAGAAAAGGGAGGAAGAAAGAAAGGAAGGAAAGAAGAAAAAGGAAGGGAGGGAAGAAGGGAAGGAGGAAAGACAAGGAAAGAAGCGAGAAGGAAGAAAAGAGAAGAAAAAGAAAGAAAAGAAACAAAGGAAAGATAAGAGGAAGAGACCGAGGGAGGAAAAAAGGGAGGGAGGGAATAGGGTTCCAGCTTCNGCTTAGAGAGGGCTGAAAGCCCTATGAAGCGGTATATAAGTCTAACTGCTATTGCTATTGTTAAGTCAAGTACAGTTTGCAATTTCGAACGGTCACTCAATGAATATTTGCTGAATATTTGACCCGCGCAGATCAAACAGGGGCTTCCTCGTCCTCACCTTTTCAAATAACTAAGAATGCTCTTTCTTGATTGCCTGGTTAAATTTGCCGGTTGCAATCTTTGTGTAAAAACACATCCGGAGTGTAAAAAAAACAAAAAAAAACCAGGCATTTCTAATATAAGCCAGCCGGCACAAGCTAATAAAAGCCAACTGGTGGAAAAGAATATATATATATTATATATATATTATATATATATAATATTGCGTAATATTTTTTTCCCCTCCCAAACAGAAGTTTTTTCTTCTTGGTGCGTGTGAGACCAGGTTCAAGTCCTGAAGGGGAGAGTGGGAGGGGGGTAAACACACTTCAATTTTGCAGAGTCATTTTTACAATGTGTAAATACGAAGACTTCAATCTGGGTTTGTTGTCCTTACCGATCACAGAAGGATTACGCAAAGAAATACTATAAAAAAAAGACAAACAGCCTTAATAACCGGTTGTTATCCAACGCTGATCCAACGCTGTTTCTTTCTCTTTTCGACTGGTGGGGGGGGGGGGAAATTAAAAAATGACAAAGATTGTTGCCTCCCGAACACTTTGGGGAAGGGTCTTATAAATGTTTGCCTACCCGTCACAAACACACAAAAATATTTTTATGTATATTTATTTGTATTCTGGTATCATTGTTTTTTTTTTTTACAAATAACGTAACGCAACGCAACCCACGTATCCAACACATTTCCCTCCTCTTGTTTCCCACGCAACGACAACCCTGTGAGGTGGGTTGGGTAGAGAGAGAAAAAGGGTGAGTAGCCCAAACTCACCCAGCTGGCTTTCATGGCTAAGGTGGCACTAGAACTCACCCTCTCCTAGTGATTGGCCCAAAGTCACTCAGATGGCTTTCATAGCTAAGGCAGTACTAGAACTCACTCTCTCCCATTGATTGGCTCAAAGTCACCCAGATGGCGTTCATAGTTAAGGCAGTACTAGAACTCACCATCTCCTAGTGATTGACCCAAAGTCACCCAGATGTCTTTCGTAGTTAAGGCAGTACTAGAACTCACCGTCTCCTAGTGATTGACCCAAAGTCTCCCAGATGTCTTTCATAGCTAAGGGAGTACTAGAACTCACCGTCTCCTAGTGATTGACCCAAAGTCACTCAGATGGCTCTCATAGCTAAGACAGTACTAGAATTCACTTGCTCCCATTGACTGGCTCAAAGTCACCCAGATGGCGTTCATGGCTAAAGTTGGCACTAGAACTCACCGTCTCCTAGTGATTGGCCCAAAGTCACTCGGATGTCTTTCATAGTTAAGGCGGCACTAGAATTCACTCTCTCCCATTGATTGGCTGAAAGTCACCCAGATGTCTTTCATAGTTAAGGCAGTACTAGAACTCACCGTCTCCTAATGATTGACCCAAAGTCACCCAGATGTCTTTCATAGCTAAGGCAGTACTAGAATTCACTCTCTCCCAGTGATTGGCTCAAAGTCACCCAGATGGAGNTGACGGTTGCAGTGTTCCTGGGTCACGTGATCCCATTTTGTGACGTTCCGAAAAGCAGATTCAATGGGGAAGCCGCAATCACTTAACAGCTAGGTGACTCACTTAACAACTGTGGTGATTCACTTAACAGCTGTGGCAAGAAAGGCCGTAAAACAGGGTGAAATTCACTCAAACACGTCTCACTTAACAACAGAAATTTAGGCTCAATTGTGGCCCTAAGCCGAGGATTACCTGTGTGAAATTTGGCCACTTGGCAACTGGTTCATATTTATGACGGTTGCAGAGTCCCACGGTCACATGATCCCCTTTTGAGACTATCTTGACAATCAAAGTCAACGGGCAAGCCAGATTCACTTAATGACCCCGTGACTAACTTAACAACTTGCAGCGATTCACTTAACAACATTGGCAAGAAAGACCGAGAAAAGGGGGCAAAATTCGCTTATTTGTCTTGCTTAGCCACAGAAATTTGGGACTCCGTTGTAGTTATAGGTTGAGGTCAGGTGGTCCTCGGTTTATGAATGCCACTCAATGATGGATTTTTTCCCCAGTTTATGCCACACGTCCCCGCGACACTGCAGCGGTCATAAATATGAGCCAATTTTGATCACCGGACCATGGGGATCCCGCAATGGTCCTAAGTGCAAAAAACGGTCCTAGGCCACTTTTTTCTCCGCCGTCGTAACTTCGAACTTTCATTAAACAAACAGTTGTAAGTCGAGGACTACCTGAAATGTGTTTCTCTCTCTCTCTCTCTCTCTCCCCTGTGCCTCTCTTCCCCCGTCTCAGGTCCAGTCCGAAATGAAACGTAAATGGCGTCGGTGGCACTTGGAACGCTTCCTCGGTTCCGACATGAAGTATCACCACCCGTCTGTCGGCAGCACCGGCACCAATTTCACCACCCAGATCTCGATGGAGGCCACCTGCAGCCCCAAATCTCAGCGCAGCTCCACTTTCCAAGCCGAGAAATCTCTGGTTTGAGACCCACGGAGGCCGAAGACGATGCCTGGCAAAAAAGCTGCAAGCAACAGGATTTGGGATTATTCAAGTATTTGGCATTATTATTATCATTATCATCACCATTATCCTCATTATTATTATTATTATTAAAGCCATTTTTTTTTTTGCAAGCAGAACTGGGGTGGGGGGGGCAGAGGACTCTGAATAAGAGAGATTAAGTCTGGACAAATCCCTCCTCCTTTTTTTCTGAGCTGGAATCGGTTTTGAAGGTGGAGACAGCAGCCAGGGTTTTTTTTCCATCTGGCTGGAATGGACAGGAAGGAATGGAAGAACTCAGCTGTGAAAAACAGAATTGTTTCACTGATGACGGGGCCGACTTGGGTCATGAAACGTCTGGAAGAAAACCANGCACAAAAAAGGTTGAAAAACACTGGATTATATTATGTAGTTGGGTCATGAAACGCCTGCGGGGGGAAACTACCAACCTCATCCCCAAGAACCTAACAGTCCTCCTCCTCCTCCTAAACCCTTCCAGCCCTGAAGACGTTCCCTAGCTGGGTCACAAAACGCCTGCCAGGGTGCTCCAGGGACCCCCCGCAGAATGCGCATTCACGATGCTCTGCCCATGGCATTCTGCGCAGAGTCTGCCTGGTTGAAATCCTTCCCTTCTTTTTTCCCATTCTCTCCTCCAGGGCTTCGTGGTCGCGGTGTTGTATTGCTTCGTCAACGGGGAGGTAAGACGTCGGAAGGGCCGGGGGGGTGGGGGTGGAGGATTCGGCTTCTGAAGTTAATCATTTCCCCCCCCCCGCCCCGTTTTTGGTTCCCCCACCAGTTAATGCATAGATTAAATTTAATTACATTTGCTTTTTAATTTTGCAAGGTCAACGGGGCCTTTTAATGAAGCGGCTGGCGAGATTCCCATTACAAAAAGGCAGCGAGAGTTTCTGCAATAAGCCAGGAAACCTGGCCAGGGGGTGCATAGCCTGATCTGAATAATTATAAAGCAATCTCTCTCCAATAACCGCCTAAGATAAATCCAGGATCCTGGAACGGTTTTATATTTTTTTAATTATGCCTCAGTTTTTAATGCAAAGTGGCTCTGATTAAATTTGAGTTTCCAAATTAGTCCCGTCAAACACTGAAGCCCCAACAACAAAATGCATCCTGAAAATAGAAATTGCCTCTGACCTTTGCCTGGGAATTGCACGGATGTGGGAAGTCCTTGACTTCCAACAGTTCATGCAGTAGCCATTGGAAGTTAGGTAAGTTAGGCTCCCCTTGCACATATGTGCTAGTCGTTCCCGACTCTAGGGGGCAGTGCTCACCTCTATTTCAAAGCTGTAGAGCCAGAACTGTCCAAAGACGTCTCCGTGGTCATGTGGCCGGCATGACTCAACACCGAAGGCGCACGGAACGCTGTTTCCTTCCCACCAAAGGGGGTTCCTATTTTTCTACTTGCATTTCATTACGTGCTTTCGAACTGC